TTTTTGAAAGGTTTAAGAGAATCTATGGATTCTAGGTGGTTTGTGGATAGATTCAAGTTCTAGGAAGTGTTTCCATTTCAATCCAATCCCTTAGTTAATTCAATGATCTATTTTTCTCATCTTGATTAGAGAAATAAGTGGGAGAGATCTCTAGAGCAAGAGGAAAGAAAAGTTATCCCTTGGTTGAGTTGAGGGCTTCTAGAAATCAAGCATTCAAGGTAATAACACTTACAACTTCTTCATACTTATTAGTGGATCTTTAGAAGTGTTAAATAGCATGAAAGTGAGAAATAAGCTTGATGAGCATGTTAATGATAGATTCAATGTTTTATGTCATAAGTGTGTTTTGAAGCTTTATTTATGACCCTTATTGATCACATAAGACATTAATAATAAGTGAGAACTTCATTCTAGCAATGTGGGTGAGATTAGGTGTAAAATTGAGCCTAAGTAAGGCCTTTCCGAGCAGGGGTATCAATATTGTAAGAACATTACTAATATTGTTCTTCAAGAAGTGCAAAATGGGCTTAGTTTGAACAAAAGTATCAATACTCCTTTAAGGAGTATCGATATACTGAGGAATTTATGAAAACATCGAAGCTCAAATTGGTATCGGTACTCATGGGAGTATCGATACCCAGATAGAAGTATTAATACTCCCTATAGGAGAATCGATGCTGAGATTATTTTCAGAACATCAAATCTAAATTTAATATCGATACCCCGTATAGTATCGGTACCTTAGCTTGGAAGTATCGATACTAGGCGGTGAGTATCGATACTATTCTTTTCAAAACAAGTAATAATAAGGTAAAGTATCGATACCTAAGGTAAAATATCAATACTAAGAGTTCAATACCAACATTGAAAGGCCAATATCGGTACCAACATACATTTTAAGTTAAGGATTTTCAAGGGTTTGTAATAGGAAAATAAGATTCTCAAGAACTCTATAATCACTCTCAAATAAGACTACAAGTGGAAATGATAATAACGCTTAATCAAACATAGAAATGAGATAAAATAGGGATAAATAAGACTAGTCTTCTTTAATGCTCGAGAAACTAATCAGACACCCGAGTTCTTTTAGTTAAGGGTGTCGAAGTATAGAATAAGTCTGGATATCCTTAGGAGTGCGCAAGACACTTTAAACTGACTAGCTAGGCCGCAAGGTACGACACTCGCAAGGGGTAGGTTAGTTGAGGTGTGGTGTTCGATGCAGAGACTTCGAGGACTACATCCTCGGTAGACTAAAGGGGTGTGTGAGCGCCGAGACGCATAGATCCCTCAACTGCACAATGATGTCTACCATATCGTAGAAAGTGAGTATCACAAGGATACTCACTAATGATTTCATATTAAATAGATTCATTATATCTTCTATAAGTTGTTTGAGCATGTTATAAATGAACCCCTGTTAGTATGTTTTAGTTGTTAGTATGACACTGAGCTAGTTAGCTCAGCGTTTGGAATTTGTTTCCTTACGCAGATTAGTTGAAGATCAGTAGAGGAGCTTTTGACCAACAACAATTTCATACCAGATCCAGAGTAAAGTACGTCTGGAGTCCTTTAGAGGGCATGTATATTTGCAACATTTATTTTGTATACTAAGTTGTAACTTGTTTTAAATTCAAGGGTTGTATATTTTGATTTTTATATCTGAGGGAGCTCCCAAATATAAATTGTTTTGTTTGAATGTTATTGTCTATTTCATTTTAAGCATTTTATAAATGAATGTTTTCCATCGAATATAGCAAGGAAATTTTTGGTTAGTCACTTCGGTGGTTTCGTGTGGCACTCTGATCAGCCGACTGGGTATCGTACTTGTATAGGGTGTTACACAAGACCTCAAGAAATAACAACAATTCTTTTACACGCATGATTGGTGCAAAATATTGATATTTAAATTTTAGAAGTAACAGTAATTCAACTTGATATAATAACAAGTTTAATTCTGAAAATTATACATTCTATCATTTTAGTCTTAATTCAAAATAATTCAACTCATATTTAATTTTTTTTTATCAATTTAGTATTTATTCCTAAATTATTTATTTTTCTTCTATAAAGATTATATTATTTTTCTGATATTATAAAAATTTTACAATAGCTTATTACTGATCTATGGCAGAATGTTGTTATTCTACAGTTATAATATGATGGATTCATTTGGTTTAATAGTATTGTAAAAATAACTAAATTGATAAAAAAAAATTAAATATAAAAAAAATTACATTTTAGGATTAAATTGTTAAAAAATTATAAATTTTAGGAGCTATAATTATTATTATACAAAAGCACACTAAATGTCGGTTTTAATTTTAATGATAAATAATTTATTTGTAAAATATTTTTATTTAAAAATTTAAATTATATATATTTTTTGAAAAATGACACCCTTTTTTAATATATAATTGTGTGACAAACATTATGTTTCTCAAAAATTTCTTTAAAATTATAAAAATATAATCTGTAAAATAAAAATCTATAAAGTTAGCAAAAACAAATATTGTAGAAATGTAATAATTTAAAATAATTATAAAATACTTTTAACAAATATTTTTTAAATAAGATATTTTATTTATTACGTATATTTTTAGTTATTCCACATCATTTAAAATAAAAAAGATTAATGGTAAAAAATATAACTAATTACTAATTATAGTTTGAATACTTAACTTAAAATAATTATAATTTAACATACATTAAATAAAAATCATTTAAATATCTGACTTTTAAAAAACTAGTATTTAAAAAGATTATATTGTGTTTACAATGTCAAAGAATTATATTGGCACGTAATCAATTCTTGAGCCTCAAAAGTAAAAATAAAAAATATTATATAATTTCAGCTGTTCTATTATTACATTAACATCCGTAAAAATTATTTATTGGCACTTAATCAATTTCTGAGTCTCAAAATTTTTAACATAAAAGTGTTTAAAAATAATTTATTGATTAGTTTTAGTGTTTAAAAATATATATATATATATATATATATATATATATATAAGTTGTAAATTTGAATAGCGGTTTTTACGTGGTGTATATATATGTAATCAAGAGTTAGAAAATTAAGAACATCTTATAATTATCAGAGGTTATATAAACCACAGTATACCAGAGAGAGAGAAATGAAACAAAGAAACATCAGCGTCAATCAAACAAACAGCTGCTTGTTTGTTACAATATACAACACTACTTCTGGCTCTTTTTCATGGAGCACCCAAACACAAATCCCAAAGCCAGGATGTGGAACTTTTCTTATGTAATTCAGCATCCCAGCTGTGGCCTGTAAACACACATTAATGTCAAGAAAACATTTATCACTGTAGTGGACATCCAAGTGGCTTCATCTTTCAACCGCCATGTATTGTGTTTACAATGTCAAAGAATTGTGTTTAATACACTACTTTTGCGTCTTTTCATGGAGCACCCAAACACAAATCCCAAAGCCAGGATGTGGAACTTTTCTAATGTAATTCAGCATCCCAGCTGTGGCCTGTAAACACACGCATTATTATCACTGAAGTGGAGATCCAAGTGGCTTCATATTTTTCTACATTTATTTGGATTGAATGTTTTATTGTAGTCCACGTTGGCATCAAAACAAGTGATAGACATTGCAAGCACAAACAGTACTTGTCTGTCAAATGTTTAAAAGCAAACATTTGATAAACCAGCTCATCAATAAAAAAAACACTCTCCCTACTACCAGGACCTTCTGCCGATGACTCTCCCATTTATTCCTTGTACACATTAAAAGGGCGGCGTGTGAATTGGTGGTGAGAGTCGGCAGATAAATTAGCTCAAGGCGTCTAGCAGTTGCTTTATTTCGTCACCTTGTCCGGATTACCAAAGGTGGGCTCCTCTTCGTAGTATTAGTAAATTAATTTTTCTGCACTCTAATTCACGTAAAGCTTGGGATACAACTCCTGGGTCAGTACTCGTGAATTAAAATTTGGTAATCTACACGTTTACTACTCTAATTATTATTTTTGTTCCATTTTGATAATCAAATTATTTTTTGTTTCAAAATTATACATATGGCAATGTTTTAGTTTCATTTTTGTTACATATCGTTAAACTAATAACAGTAATATCGATGTATCACCATAAGATAATGTTATGTCATAGTTGAAAAAAATTAAAATACTACGTCAATAATTTTATTAATTTTTTAACGAATAGTGGCCAAAATGTAATGTCAAGTATGATTTAAAAAATAATAATTAGATGATCCAAATGAAATGAAAATAATTACTTATATTTATTTAATATAAAAATAATTACATTTTTTAGAGTGGTATAATCAAATCATATTTTTAATGATGGTATTGGGACATGACAACAACTAAACTACCTAGTTCCTCGGCATCTGCAATTGTGGGCTTCGCTTTTAAAATATCGTCGGCACTCGGCACTCTATATTACCAATGGTTTGGGGGGGGGGGGGGGGCATTGATGACCAATGGTAGATTCTCCACTTTGGTAAGTTCAACGGCTCTCCGCAGTGCAACGAAGACAATAATACCATGATGTCGTTATGAAAAGGTCTATATTGATCCCATTGTTTCGTAAGCTATCACTATACGTTATAAATTATAATATTAAAACGAAACAAAGTGCGTTTACCTCAGCAAACTTCATCTTTTGTTTTACCTTTCCTTAACTCATTTGTCTACTTGTGACTAATTATAAAAAAAATTGACCAAAAAAAAGTCAACAATTTAATGAGAGAAAGGAATACCTTTTAATCATCACAAAATACTAAAAAAACTTATAATTTTTCTTTTCCCGTACCTAAAATATATTCTGATATAAGGCATGATATTTTGTCGCTTAATTTTCGAGACTGTTGACAGATAGATTGCTGCTCAGCTGATGCTACTGGTTTCGAATCTCATTTGACATTGGCATAATCTATATTGTTTGTCGATTTTTTCACCCTGTTTACCAAGATATATGTTCCAATTACAATGGTCAGAATGATTCCGCAGATCCAAAAGTTCAAGAATGCATTGTCCAAGAACACAATAGATCGATGCAGCCTCGGGCCGGCAAAAGGTCTCGATGAGAAGGAGCTATTGGCATTAGCTGTCAACAAAGACCTTTCCTTTACCTACAAACCAAAACCAGTTCAACCCAATCCGAATCCTGTTCCTGAAAAAGGAAGACATCCTGGTATCGGAAACATGCTTAAACCCGAGAGAGAGCGAGGAGAAAACCTTGGTTGGTGTTGGGGGATGATGTTAGGTTTCCTTTTGAAAGACCTCGAAGGTCTTCCCCCAAAATTGCCATTGTAGTACAGTTACTAGAGTTCCATGTTCGTCTTCCGTATACAAACATTCATGTTATAAATGGAAAACATAGTAGAGGTTGAAATGCCATTAATGTCAATTTGTCTCCTCCATGGAGTTGTAGGTTTTTGGATTTATTTTTTTGGATCCTAACCCGCTTTTGGTTCAAGGGTGATTGAATTTGAAGAGTAAGTAGCTGTGAATATGTTGAGTTGATGTAAAAGATTACATTCATATCAATATATGGTTATATAAAATGAAAGCCTTTTTCTTTTATTTTTTCCTTTGTGTTAGCGTTTAATGACAAATGAATCCCGAGATTGTTATCTGTTTTTCACCGTGCCTAGTGCTTACCATAGATTGTAAATGATTCTTAAATTCAAAATTTTCTGAAGAATCTATTACAAAATGCTTGTATAAACAGAGGGTTTAATCTATTTTTTTGTGATATTCATCTTACGCTCTCCGATCCATGGGAAAGGAGCAGAAGCCGAGAGCTTGATCATCAATGATGTTATGGAACCGTACCAATCGTTGAGGATGATGTTCCTATTATAGTCGATCGTAGGTACTGAATTTCCACCAGGAAGTCCCACAATGATTGATCCATATAACCCAGCTTCTCTTTGCGTTCCATAATATGCATGATGCAAGTATGTTCCGGGCTACATTGAAAAGCAATTGCTGAAACTTACTCTGTAAGTGATTCCATCAAACCAGGGTGTTCCAATCTGTAAACAATCAAGAAACAGAGCTTTCAGAAATGTTTAGGGCAATAGGGTAATTTGAAGATTATAGTAAAAATCAATTAATAAAGCTGTCAAATTCCATGCCAGTGAATAACAAGATTCTCTCTAAACAAATGTTGTGAGGAATTGGGTGATATGAAGATTCATTCTCTCCTGAAAAAAATCCTCTGGTGTTACTTTGGTCGGAGTCTAAAATTACTACAAAACCCCTCTTACTGTATTAGAGATTAAGAATATGACACGTGGAGTATGCGGTTATTGGTGCTGAGCTGGTGATGGCTGTTAAGGAAACAGTTAGAATCTGTTAGGCTTAACAAACTTTAGTTGAGAATCACACATAATGTGTTTATATACATGATAATTGTGTATCTTGTAATCAATTCTTTGTTACATCAATAAACTACAATGCTTCTTGATTGAGTAATCCAATATGATATTAATCGTTGGTGTTCCTGGCCTCTATTAACTTGCTTCTGTTGCATAGAGTGTGATCATGGAATTTCCTCTATATAGCTCAAAGACCTTCTCCCATAAGAAGGTCAACGTGATGCTCGACGAAATGAACTTCCTGATTTGGAAACAACAGGTGTTATTAACAGTCCGCATCCATCGATTAGAGTGTTTGCTTACTGGTGCAGTTTCAACGCCACCAGAAACGGTGGTTGACGACAATGGTGATGTTCGGATTAATGAAGAATACGAGGAATTTGTTGCACAAGATAGTGCATTGGCTTCTTGGCTACTTTCTACCATCAGTGCTCCACTTTTACCTCAATTTGTTGGAGCCGAGTCTGCATCGGCAGTTTGGAACACAATACTGTAGTTCTTTTCTGCTCGATCAACGACGGTCGTAATGAGCCTTCATTACAAATTACAGTCGCTAAAAAAAGGTGGTGACACTATGAGAGTTTATCTTACGCACATCAAAGAGGTATGTGATGCCTTGAAATCGTGTGGGAGCCCAGTACCTTCTGTCGAACGCATTACCAGCATTCTAAAAGGCCTTCCTCATGAATATCACTCCTTTGTGGCTGTTATAACTACAATGAAAGAAACTCTAACCCTTGATAACATATACACTATGTTACTTGATGCTGAAATGCAACTTGTAGGATTTGATGTGCAAAATGAAGTGCTACCCATGAGTGCTCATGTTGCTCAAGGAGAAACACGTGGTTCCTCCTTTTCTAATGCTCGTACTGATCAATGATTCAATTACTCCATTGGTTCTTGAGCACCTAATGGCATAGACAGAGGTTGACCGCGTTTACAATGTTAATTGTGTGGCAAAATCAGACACCTAGTGGATCGTTGTTGGCATAGGTTTGATAAAGAATTTTCTTGTGTCACAATAGATAATCGAGCTTCCTACAAGAATGATTCATATTCCTCCTCTTCCAATGCGTGTGAATGTTATGGTAAAAGTCGACCAACCTCCTTGAGTCTACCTCAAGCAAACACTGCTAATGCTGGTCACAGTTCTGATAGGTGGGTGGTGGACTCTGGAGCAACACACTATGTCACCTCTGAAGCATTGAATATCATGTTGGCCCAGGTAAACTTGTCGTTGGCAATGGCATGCGTCTTGGTGTTAATATAGTTGGTCAGTCGTTTGTTTCTTCTTCCTCTCGAGTTCTTCTACTCAAAGATTTACTACATGTGCCTTAAATTACTAAAAACTTGCTTTCGGTATCAAAGCTTGTTAGGGACAATGATGTATTGCTAGAGTTTCATACTAATCGGTGCTGTGTTCGTGATGAGAAGACTGGTTGTGTCTTAATTCAAGGTGAAGAGAATGATGGCCTTTACTCCTTTGCAATGAACTCCAAAGATCGTGTTGCTAAGGTGTATACTGTCTCGATGAAAGGTTCCATTGATGAGCTATGGCATAGGTGCCTTGGTCATCCTGCGTTCCATACTCTAGCTACATTTTTATCTACACTTGGTGTCAAGTTTAAGTTTGATATAAATAAGGAATGTACTGCTTGCTACATGGGCAAGAGCCACAAAATGCCTTTTGTTGAATCAAAAATAGTATTTTCTTCTCCATTTGAGCTTGTGTTTACTGACTTGAGGGGACCCCCCCCCCCCATATTTCCTCTAATGGCTTTCGATACTATGTATCCTTTTTTGATGCATTTACCAGACATACCTGGTAATACCTCTTGAAAACTAAAGAAGAGGTTATTCTAGCAGTTGACTTGTTTCAAAAAAATGTTAATAAACAATTCGGTTACTCAATTAAGTCTGTTCAAAGCGATTGGGGGGGTAAATTTCGCAGCCTGTCTTCCTTCCTGGCAAAGTGTGGCATTGTTCATAGGATAAGTTGTCCACATACTTATGAACAAAACGGTGTAGTTGAAAGAAAGCACCGCCATGTGATCGAGCTTGTCCTGGTATTATTGGCTCAAGCTGTTATGCCAATAAAATACTGGTCTTATGCCGTTGTAGTTGTTGTCTACTTGATTAACAGGCTACCCACTAAAGATCTTCAAGGAATGTCACCTTTCGAAAAACTGATGCAAAAGACACCAGATTACAATATGATGAGAGTCTTTGGCTGTCAATGCTTTCCCCATTTGAGATTATTTCAGAATCACAAGCTTGCGTTTGTTCTCAAGCATGTGTATTTTTGGGTGTCAACTCACAGCATAAAGGATACCAATGTTTGGCTCCAGATGGCTGTGTATATGTCTCTCGTCATGTAGTTTTTAATGAACACATGTTTCCTTTTTCATGTACTAATAGCAGTAAGGAGCATGTCTCAAATGTAATCTCTACTCTATCACCTTCTCTGAGCTTGGTTGCTAATCCTAAGAAACCTATATTCCAGTCCACATCTGAACCAACACGTGCGTCAAAATCGAATGATGCCAGGAATAATGTTGAAACATCAATGCCCTTGGAGTCTTCAAACAATGGTGACTCTTGTACGTATCAACAGCCTGAACCTTTACCAAAGTCGGAAAACAATACTGATAACGCTGACTCTCATACTACCCAATAGCCTGAACTTTTACCAAGGTCGAAAAATAATATTGATAATGCTGACTCTCATACCCCCCAGCAGCCTGAGTCCTTGTCTAGGACTGGAGATGATGCCTCTGATATGGCCCATAATCAGGATAACACAATCCTGCCTGAACTTAATTCAGTTCTTGAAGTTGCTACATCTTCTTCGAGTTATGTTCCTTCTACTCCACAACGAGTTCATCATATGATGACGCGTAGTCGATGTGGTGTCTTTAAACCAAAAGTGTATACTGTTGAATGCACTGAAGATGTTCCTGGCTCAGTTCATAAGGCGTTTCAGGTGGCACATTAGAGACAGGCAACTCAGGATGAATATGATGCATTGTTAAAAAATGACACCTGAACCCTTGTCAGCCTTCCAGAAGGTCGAACCCCAGTTGGTGCAAATGGTTATTTAAAGTAAAACGCAACCCAGATGGTTTTGTACTACGATACAAAGCTCGGTTAGTTGCGAAAGGTTTCTCGCAAGTCTCGGGCTATGACTTTAAAGAGACGTTTAGCCCTGTTGTTCGTTTTTCAACCTTTAACATAATCCTTGCTATTGCTGTGCATAATGGCTGGGCACTTAGGCATATCGACATAAATAATGCCTTTCTCAACGGGGAGCTACTCGAGGATGTGTACATGTAGTAGCCTCCAGGATTTAAAAAGATGGATGAGCGTGGAATGCCACTTGTGTGTAAACTCCATAAAGCTTTATATGGGCTTAGACAAGCACCCAAGAACTGGCATGAGATGTTAAAAGAGAACTTGTTGCAAATGCAATTTGCTGTCTCTCGAGCTCATCCCTCACTGTTCCATAAGCTCACGCCTCATGGAGTCATCTACATACTGGTGCATGTTGATGACATAGTCATTACAGGGCAATCCTTTGATTATGTTAAAAGTGTTGTGTTCTTGCTAAAGGACAAGTTTTCTTTAAAAGACCTAGGGGAATTGAGGTCAAACGTTCTAAGGAGTCTGTGATCTTAAACCAAAAGAATTTTGCGTTAGAACTCTTGGAGAAAACGGGTATGCGAAACGCTGCTAACTGCAATACCCAGATGATCATGTCCTCTAAACTCTTGCATGAAGAATGTACATTAATTCAAAATGTGACTGAATATTGAAGTATTGTAGGGTCTCTACTTTACATGTGTCATACTAGGCCAGACATTTGGTTCAACGTTGGGCATGTAACACAGTTCATAAACTCGCCCAGAGAGCCTCACTTTACAGCAATTA